TGTATTAGTTACAGTGTAAATATATGTAGGAAGCGGGAATTTGTCTTGGAGGAGATGTAAACATGGTTTAGTTTGAAACTTTTCTTATGAATTTCCTGTTGTCCATTCCCTTAGGAAAAAATAATGAAAAGAGCATTGACAAAAAGCAATGTTGTTGATAATGTAGAAAATTTCTACTAGGGATAAATACTTTCAAATCCGATCACATGATTGAAGGATTCCTGAAAGGAAATAAATCTTAAGGGACAAAATACACGGCCAGTGATAGCTTGGTGAAAAGAAATTGTAACTGAAATCTAATAGGAGACATATTCCATCATTATAGTCACAGATATACCCTGAGCAAGAACTCTCAATGACATTATTGGTTTGCTTTTATTTCTGAATGGAGGGTCTTGGGCTTGAGCAGTAAGGTAGGTATCAACATGATCTCACTGGGACTTCCAGGTTGTTTGAACTACCCAAAATATCAGAGAAAACATTTTAATAATAATAAAAAAGCTACAGTTAGCAGAACTGATCACAGTAATGGAGAATATCACTTTAACAGAGTCTTAGCCCTGTCTTGGGGTAAGTCAGAGGTAGAAAATTTAAGGGCTTTGGGGTCTGGACTCAAGTAGTTTTAAGGTGGATCTTTCAAATTGGAAACTGAAAAGGACTGGGCAAAGTTAACAATATAGTAGTTTAGGTTTGGTCCACACAGTTTAGTAAAGGTCTTGATAGGTAAATTGTTATTGATATACAGGCTGTTGTTCAGAGTAAAATTATTGTTTTCTTCAATATACTGATTCGCTGACATTTCCCGAAGCAAACAGTGCATTTAATTACCTGTTTGCAATATTATCTTTCCCAGGCTAAAGCTTCCCAGAAGAAACAACTAAGTCATGCTGACACGAATGGTCCATMGTTTTACCTAAGTCTTGTTCAGAAATGGTCTCAATTCTCAAACTCTACAATATAAAAAAAAGTAGACTTTCAAAACTGGAGATTATATGTTTGAAATGGAAAATTAGATCAAAATGAAACAACACCAAATTTGTTTAAAAATAAGGCAAAAAATCTACAGAAATGGAAAAAGAGATTAACAATTATAATTGAAAAATTTTAAAAATCACTCCCACAAAAAATTTCAATAAAACAAAAAAATAAACTCAAAATTGGTACCCAACAAGAAAGAACACACAGAATTAGTTGAAATGATCCACCATGTACTTGGCCACAAAGAAAGCCTTGAGGCATTTTTAAAATCAATATCATTTGTYGTATGACTAAATATAAAAAAATACAAATTAATAAGGAAAATTCTATGTAAACTAACAAGAAAAAATACAGTTACCTAATGTTCTCATTTAGATAAAATAATCATAAATCATTTAGGATATATTTACAACTGAATGTCAAATACAACAGTATAGATCAAAATTTAAAAAAAAATAAGTAAGGCAGAATGTAAAACAAAACTTTTCAAAAAATATATATTCATYATCAGCTAACAAGATGCAAAGCAAGGGATCTGATCATTCAATAAGAAAAACTTGAATTAGAGCAACAAAGCAAATCTAGAGAAGCAAAAAAATAAAGAAATAATGAAATAACTGATATCAGAAAATAAATGAGAGAGATGACCAGAATGGCTATTAGAGAATGTACAGTGGGCATAGTATTGTCACTTGTCATCAAACATTATCTTCAAAGAAAGCAGTAATTAAAACAGAAAAGAGGTATTATTCTGGCTGGCCCCCTGCTACCCAATTCTCTTTTCTCAGTTTCCACTGACTGAAGAATATTTTCTGGAAAAAATAAAAAATAAAACAACAACAACAACAACAACAAAACCCCAATACTGGTTTAGAAGCACTGTTGTAAAATAGGTCTTGCACTAAGCTAGTGATGGACTCACAATCAGTACAAAGAACCTTCTTAAAGTTGTTTTTTTTTTTTTTTTTGTAGATATATATATATTTTTAATGTGGTGCTGAGGATCGAACCCAGTGCCTCACATGTGCCAGGGAAGTGCTCTACTGCTTAGCCACAACCTCAGCCTCCTTCTTAAACTTCAAAATATGCAGGTGGGATAAAGAATTCTCTAGGTGTTAAGAAAAACAAAAAGTCCTGAGCAACTGCCCCCTTTTGACTTTTTGAAACATTCTTGAAAACCTAGTGCAAAATTGTTTTCAAAGACTGCAATTATTTTTTTTCCACTCACATTCACCTTTTGCCCACATTTCACTTAACAGAATAGTACTAGGAAAATAAATTTTTTCAGAAGAGAAAGGTTAGTATGAGCTACTGTTCTATCCTATAAATATAATACATTTTGATATATTTTAAATTGTGGATTTTGCAGTATTTATAAAATGCTAAGCCCAGTGTTGGAACTGCTTGAGCTTCTCAATTTTGTTTGCCTATTAGAATGCTTCTGTCTGAGTCTTACCCCAGAATAGTTTAACTATGATTCTGATGATGGACTCAAGAATTTGAATTTCTGAAATCATCTGTGATTCCAAAGCAATCAACATGGAGACTCACTGTACTCAGGCAAGTTTATAAAGCAACTCTAATGTCTATTTAAATCTTATCCTAGTCTGTCCTTAGCTCTTCTCTTTCCATAGCTTCACCAATTTCTAAAGACAAATATAGCAAATTGGTCAAATATGTATATGGCAAGAAGACAGAAAGAAGACTAAAAGACTGACCCTGTAAAGATCCCAAAATAGCTCAACAAGTTGTGATAAACTTACTCTAACAGGAGAAATTTTCATAAAGACAAAGAACAAAACTCAAACTTGGGCATGGTAAACTGACCCCACGAATGTGGGATGCAAGGAAATGCAGATGTGAGTAGATAGCAGTAGGCATGAAAAATTATAGAGGAACTTAATTGACTTTAAGTAGTTTTGCTACCTGAATCCTAGGGCAGAGACCTAAGTCTGGGGATCCCAACAGACCAGATTCAGTCACCTGTGGACACAAGATAAATGGTTGTGAAGAAGGGAAGAGGTTTATTCAATATGGTTATACTGAGAAGAAATGGGGACTAATCTCCCAAATCCATGTCTTCTTGGTACTCAAAGTACCAAGAGTATATAAGTGAAGAACTAGTGCAGGAAGCAAGGAGGATGCACAATCAAGTAGTATTTGCAAAGCTGTGGTCTAGCTGATCAGTTTCAAGGCTGGTTATATGGAGTCTTATTGGAGCTGGGAAAATCCTTGTTCCCCGGGGGAGAGAGCAATTTGGTCCCTCATGAGATGATTGCTCCTGCTTGAGGGGCAGCTTCTGTTCATATGATGGAGTGATGTGTTTTCAAGGCTCATTGTTCCTGGAATTTCTGGGGAGGAGCAATGACTGACAGAAAGAACAGACAATGAGGAGCAAAATGGAGTCAGGACAAGACTGGGTCCTCCTTCAAAGCCCTAATTTTTCAGTTTGAGTCAGGACTCGGATTTGGCTGCCAGAAAGTAAATTTGATCCAAGACTATATCAACAAATATGTTCCATCTGCACACGGAAGAGCCTTTTCTGCATGTTTATTGGAACACTTTAAGTACTGAGCCATGGTCTGAGCAGTATGCTTTATGAGAAAGTGGAGCTGTCATATAGTGGAAAAGGAAATTTAGCTGGGAGGAAGGCTAGCACTGTGAGAACATGATAGGTATGTTGAAAATATCTGAGGAACTTATATGTGGTAGATTAGATTTATCATGTAAAAACTCCAGAAGTTGAAAGTAATAGACACAAGGTAACACTTCCATAATGTTGACCTTCAAAACAGGGAATGGACAAGCACACAAAGCAGAGGGTTCCCTGTTGCTGGAGGTATTTAAGCCTTCAAATAAAGGATGGGTAAGGAGAGTTCTAAGTGTCCTAAAGGTCTGAATCACATCTAGGATTTTACGAACCTATAAGATCAGCATATTTAGAGTGGTTTGGGAGCAAAAGTGAGACTTTTCATGTTCTGTATGCTGTCAAAACTCCTTAGTTACATCCTCTACTGCTTGGGGACTGCTGGTGCCACAGGCATCACAGCCCCTGAGTACTTTTCTAATGGGGAATGCAGCACTTTTCTGAAGATGTCATGTCCTTCTAGCATAGGTTTATCAGGAGCTCCTCTTCACCATCCAGTTTCTCTTGTTAACCAAATTTGTTGTGGAAGTAGACTGTGTCTTTTAGTTCTTCATAAAAATTCTAGCCTTTATCTCCATCTGCCAGAAGTTTGGGGTTCCAAAATGGCCATTAGCATCTATCCCAACAGGCTACACTGCATTCTGTGAACTCCCTTTGTTGTTCTGGCTTCACCAAGTTACCCAGAAAAAGGCAAAGGGGGGCAGTGCATTTTCCAAGGTCTGGTTGGGTCTCTGCCATAGTGATGACTTTCTCTTGAAACTTTTAGAACTCTCTTGGAAATGTGCTGCGGTCCTGAGGCCCAGGCGTGCCTGGAATAGGATGAGAGCCCAGGGGCTGACAAGGACAAAGGGTCGGCGGCTGTTTTCTACCCAAGGTACCTGCTTTCTCCTTGCTTCAACTTGCCCAGAGTAGTAACTTAACCTCTAAGGCTGGTCCTGCGGATCACCCGCCCCAAGGATGAACTTGCACCTCCAGCCGCCCACTCCAGGGAGGGAAGGGGAGGGGAAGAAAAGCTGGGGAGCGGGAAGGAGGTGGGGCCGCTGGGGCGGAGGCGAGGGAAGTGGGGAGCCGCTGGGAGAGAGCTTCCGAGGGAAAGTGAGAGGGGAGGGCAGCCCGGGCTCGGCACGCTCCCTCCCTCGGCCGCTTTCTCTCACATAAGCGCAGGCAGAGGGCGCATCAGTCATGCCCTGCCCCTGCGCCCGCCGCCGCCGCCGCCGCCGCTCAGCCCCGCGCGCACTGGAGGCTCGTGCGCCGCGGTGCTCCCGGGCCTCGCCGCTGCCGCCGCCGGGCGCCCCGCCGCCCTGCTCGCGCCACCCGCACCGCCACCGCCACCGCCACCCCTCGCGCCGCTCCGGGTGCCCGGCTCGCTTCACTTCGGGGAAGGGGAGGGAGGAGGGGGACGGAGGCTCTGGTGGCTCTGGAGGAGTAGAACATCGCGGGGTGTTTGGGCTTTCCCCTCCTCTTCCCAAAAGGCAAAAACAAAAACGCCAACGGAGGAGCTGTCCTCCCTCGCCCTCGCTTCACCTCGCCGGCTCCGAATGAGGGGAGCTCGGATGTCCGGTTTCCTGTGAGGCTTTTACCTGACACCGTCGCCTTTCCCCGGCACTGGCTGGGAGAGCGACTTGCAAAGTTGGGAACCCAGAGCCCCGGACTCGCTCCCGCCGCCTCCGGCTCGCCCAGCGGGGGGTCACGGAGAGGAAATCGGGGGGGAAAGGGGACGAGGAGAGGACTTCTGCATCGCTGGGGCGCCCGCGCCCCCACCCCTGGCCCCGCTAGCGGACCGGTCCTTCCACCATGCACTTGCTGGGCTTCTTCTCTCTGGCGTGTTCCCTGCTCGCCGCTGCGCTGCTCCCGGGTCCGCGCGAGGCACCCGCCGCCGCCGCCTTCGAGTCCGGCCTCGGCTTCTCCGACGCGGAGCCGGACGGGGGCGAGGTCAAGGTAAGAGCGCCGAGGGTGCCTGTCTGGGGCCGGACCGGGGCCCAAGTCCAGCTGCCGGCTCAGTTTGCTAAGAACCTGCGCACAAGAGCTAAGTGTGTACCCCTTTAGCTTCGTGGAGTCTAAAGTTACTGAGCCCAGTGCACGCTTCCTTGGAGAAAAGTTTTTCTTTTTTAAATAGGAAGTTGTTACTGGAAAGGAAAGCAATTTACAGAAGCGGAGGCCCAGGAGAGGTGTCTAGTAATAGAGATCGGAGTCTGTTTCAAAGTGGTCTCCGCTGGCACAACAAGGGCATCTGGAACCCTGCCAGTTGGAGTGGCTCAGGAGAGCATTTAATTCGAGAAATGCTCTTTCTTTCCCTGGCTGATCTGTGGGACTCCAAACAGCTTCTGGGGTAAGGATGACCAGTCGAGCGAGTCTGATTTTCCTGGAGTGTTCATAGTATGTGGAGCACCCAGCCGGCGCCTTGCGCTATTTTGGAAAAAGTGTAAGGGAATTTAGGAACTGGGCTTGAGGGCTTGAGACTTAAAAGTTCACTTGAAGTTGGTCAAACTTGGAATGTAACCGGAGGTTAGGCTCATTTAGATCAGAATCAAACAAAGCTTTTTTTTTTTTTTTTTAATTCCAACTTTATAAATTCTTCTTTCCGAAAATCTGGTCATGAAATATTAAAATTAAGTTGTCTTTTTCTTGTTTGAGTTATTTTATTTATTTTGCTTTTAAGTTAGAGAAGTTTATATTTTGCCTAAAAGTGTTGCTAAGATGCTTTTTAAGGCATTCTRATTTTCAAAAAACGGCATTATGGTGTTTGTGTCTGTTCTTACTGGGCTTTTCTAAAGAGTATGTTTTTAACCTAAAAAGTTCATAACAGTGGAGTATGTTTTATAGAGTTCTTGAACTCCTGAAATTTTATACTCAACATACTATGAGATATCTTACTTCAAACACTTGCAGTGCCTCTGGCTGAAACTACACTGCAGTGGTTTATTTCAACTGATGGCAAATGAGAAGTGCCAGTGATATATGTTGCTCTCAACTTTCAAGTGACTTTATTCATGAACATATACTGAATGTGTAGAAGTTAAGTTGTCTTCCCAGTTATATTTTGAGATGCACTTTAAGACTAAGAAGACTAAGGTTTAAAATTAACTCCTTTTGCATTTTAAATTTTGGGAAAAATTAAAATATATCAGAATTTGTAGTTTGATAATTAAAGTCAACAAAAAATGAAATTTTCAGTTTCATTCACAATGTATTATCTGCACTTATTTATATACATTAAGTTGCAAAACAGTGTACATTATGTGCATTACAATTCAACACAAATGCATCACTATAGCTAGAGTAATGAAAATGTCCTTCTGTTTTTAAATACCACAAAAATGTAGCATTGGACCCAGTAATGCCATCTGTAATTTGAGTCCTTGAATTTGCCACATCTGTTCACTTTCTGTGTCTGAAAACTCAAACTAATTTAAGTATAACTTAGTAAGACAACACCTCTCCATTGCCTATGGTAACTTCGATTTACAATAAGAAAGTGTGATACTTTAAGTAAAATGAGAAGCACTTCCGGATAAGACAATAACCTAGATGAGATTTGCTAACTCTGGGTCAGTGATGAATGAATGTTCTGTATAAGTGGGTGAGGATGGAGGGAGGAGGGATGTTATGTTTTGGTATGGGATTGGAGGGTAAAATAGTTAATTTATTTTAATTTTCAATTGGTGGTGAAGTAATAAAATTTCCCTTCTCTGAAACTTTCTGCATTTTTGTTGGTAAATGTGGCTTTTCATTTTTAATCATCTTTTCTGTTCTGTACGGGGAATATGGATTGATATTCTGTATGTGATGTGAATTCTTTCCTCATACGATAAAACATTATTTTAAATCTCTTGAGTTTTACACAGCAGTATATATTGCTGCACTAAACTTTTCCCCAGTGGTGAAAATAGCCTTGACAGGATATATGTCATTAATGACTTCAGTAAAACTGTTCTATCCTTGCTGTGAAACTTGGATGCAACTGATCCAAAGACTCCCTGTCTCTCCCTAGTGGTCTGTCTATGTAAGCACCTCATTTAGATGAAGGCGTGCAAGAACCAGGGAGGGACCAACTGTTAATTTTCTATGAACAGTAAAATCCAGCATGATATTTCAGAATGTAAATAAAAGATGCCTTATATACCTAATCCCAATAGATGGAAATTTTTGGTAATTATCACTTAACATAGTAATTTAAAAAATATATAACTAATATGAAGCTACTCACAAACTATGAACCAAAGCTAGCTATCCAATCCTTTGTGTGGTCTGAAAAGCCATGCAAAATATTGGTAGTGAAATTAGAAAAGGAATCAAGATCTTTTTTCTTGACTTATATTTGCATTTAGTAGGTTCCCATTTCTAATTATTGGTGTTGTATGATTTCATGAAAAGTTCTAAAATGTTTCTCTGAAGGATGTTTGTACAAACTATCAATGTCAGAATAGTATGTTGGTTAAAAGTGAAATTAACTGAATATAAAGTGTGAAAAGAAGAAGTATCTAAATTGTTATCCAACTAACAAAACTGCAAAACCTAGAAAGCACATTAAATCTCTAAATCTAGTGATTTACAACAAGAGTTTAGATAGAGTTCACTCTGGGTGGTAGGAGTTGAGTTTGATTTTAAGGAAGAAGTTGGTTTATGACCAAGAAGGAAAAGAAAAAAAGGGAAGAATTACTTCATATGAAGTATATTTATGAAACTTTTACTCCATAAATATAGTGGATTATAGTGGGATCTAGATATCTAGATCAGGAGCAGCATTTCTCAAAATAGTGTCTGTGTGCCAACTACATCAGAATTCCCTAAGGGTTTTTTTTTTCTTCTTTCTCTCCTTAACCTTATACCAACTGTAACTCTTGGCTTGGAACTAGGAAAACACATTTAAAATAGTATCCTCAGTCATTCTCATTCACAATGAAAGTATTATCTGCACTTACCTATAATGTGTCTCAATGACTAATTTCGGCGTTTATATCATCTTCCTTATATAATTGTTGAGTCTGAAGAATAATCTGTCAGCCATGGGGCATAGTAAAAGACATATGCCATTTTTCCTCTCTTTGAGGAGTTAATAACTCAGGTTAAAAAAATAAAGATCTATGAACAAAAATACTATGAGATACATTGCCCTTTTGTGAGGGAATTGGCACTAAAGCATTGTCTGTGTTCTCAAGTATGGATGAGAGACTCATCATGGTGGTCTGGATTATCTGGGAACCTTGACCTGAGAACAGAGCTTGAGTTGTAACTTGGATGTGAATTTCCAGCAGACAGTTCATCAAAACCAGAAGTCTATTTGATCTCTTGAATGGGATGAGAAAATGAGAATACAAGAAGGACACTTTGACTGGAGGATTGTATAGGGTAACAGTGAAGACTCCTCAGTAAGAATAAGTTAAGAGATAATTAGGATCATTACTGTTTATAGCCTGAGCCAGTTTAAGCAGTCTAAACTTCATGCTATGGATCAGAGAGGGTTATTCATGACCCAGGCAACTGAATAACATAGTAAGAAGACTATTGAAATTATTCCTGGGGTTGATTAGAGGTCATTAGGACTTTTACTGGGGAGATGATCCATTTAAGAAGCAACAGAAATAATCTAGATAGGAAGTGATGAAGAGTCTGAGTGTTGGCAGAGGGAACAGATTAAGAAGCTTCTAACAACAAAGAATCCATAGATCTGGTGACTGATCAATGTGAGAGTTAAGGGAAGGGGGGAATTCACCCTGGTCTCAATGTTTGAATCATAGGAACATATTGGTTCTACTTGTAGGATTAGGGTATTTCAGAGAAGAGACTAGTATTCATGGATGGATATTTGATGATGACAGCATTCTTCCGTTAAAAAAAATGTATTTAGTAGACAATAGGACATCTTTGCAGAAACAAAGTAAACTTTATGAATTTACATTCTATTGAAGGGAAATAACTGACTAGGGTCAACAGGATGTGAACTGCATGATATACTTAAAATATATGGGCATTTAACAGGTGTTAAGGACAATTCCTATGGGAAAATTAAGATTATGCCTATCCTGTTACCCTTCATTAAAGATGAGGAGGTAAATTTTATTTTTTATTTTTGGTACTGATGATCGAACTCAAGGGCACTCGATCACTGAGCCACATCCCTAGCCCTATTTTGTATTTTATTTGGAGACAATATCTCACTGAGTTACTTAGTGCCTCGAAATTGCAGAGGCCAGCTTTGAACTTGTGATTCTCCTGTCTCTGCCTCCAGAGCCACTGGGATTACAGGTGTGAGTCAGGGTGCCAGACTAAGAGGTAAATTTTATCTAAGTAGAATTCCACAAAAGTGTAATTTTTAGTCATTTACTAGGAGGCTTCTCTGAGCTCTGTCTTRCAGTGCTCATACTTCTCGGTAGGAATCTCTCTCCCCCCACAATCAGTCTTTAGAAAGGAGGTTCAAGATTAAGGAAACATGAAACTCTTGATTAAGGAAACCTTTAAACTCTTTTTGCTTCACCGGACAACAATTTATGTTACAGGCTCAGAATTTGACTTTCTATGAGCCCCTCTCAGAGTAGGGCAAATGATTATATCATGGAAGAATTGGATTCATGTCCCTTTATCCAGAGTTTCTGATTCTTTAATAGCTGGCCTATAACGGCTGTGTTTATAATTTTCCTCAGAGTGCACGATTAACTGTTTTTGTCAATCTCCTCTCTTAGATTTCTGACATCAGTCTGAGTGATGCTGGTCATATACGAATATGGACATAAAAAGCTCCGTTCTTTCATGTTAGTTTCCACTTTGTTGTATTTCTTCTCCTGAACTGGTAACCATTTTTTTTTTTCATGAGTTAATATCAAAACTGCTTCAGGAAGCAGTTAGTTATCGACCTCAGTCGAATATCCTTAAGAGCACTGGGTGGCTATTCTTGTCCTTCTAAATTGATTTCAGAAGAGTGCAGAGTAGAGGATTTGAGG